CCTTTATGCCAAGATTAACTTTCACGTTTGTGCTGGGGTAAATTTCTCCTTTTTATAACCTCATCCATCTAAACTTTTGTCTTCTACAGTGGGTTTTTAATGTTTCCCAATTTGGACCTAAAAATATTCGAGAAGGGCATAATTGTCATTTCGGTAGAATTTTTCAATGTTATTGCTTATTTCTAGATTAAATGCAGTCTTCAATATTCACTGATACATAAATTTAACTTAGAAAATATATTTTGATTTTCTGAGGTACAAACCATATATACTGATGAATTAACAAAATTACACACACAAAATGTTGGCACTCTTGTTCACATATTTGGGTTCAGAAGTAACCAAAAATTGACTTGTTTCATAATAAGAGATCACTCATTCCCAACCCCAAGAAAATATAAAGTCTGGGTTAATTTCCTGCAATAAGTCATTTAATTAAAGAACAAAATTAACAGGAATCAAAATGTTGGAGCTGTATTTTTTGTTAGACATTATATAAAAAACAAAAAGTATAATACAGTAAATCATTTTATATAACATGAACTTAGAGTTTTCCAATTAATCATGATCAGAATAAAAATGTCTTTTCAACAAAATACTGAATGACACTGCGACACTGCATCTCATGTCCCTCATGTCAGAGGCCTGGGAGTGGTGAGCCTGCACATGCACTTCACCCATCCTCTGTCACACTGCAGAACTGTAAAACAAGGTTGAAAGGCAAATGACAGTTTTCTTCTGGTAGAGTTGCATTGGGCCTTAACTGGCCCCAATAGTTCACACTCCTCAGACATCAAAGAAGGAAGTGTGTCCTCTGGTTACTCCTCTTATAGGTAAGTGTGGCCAAGATTGCACCTGAGTGTGTGATTCTGCTCTTCTCACACAGCAGGTAGTCTTGAGCTGAACTTCAGGAAAGTTCCCTGATGAATGTTCAGTGTTGGTATCAAAAATTAAACACAAATTCTTCTCAGAAGAAAATCTCTATGGCCTGTGGAATCTAGAAATTTTTTAAAAGACAAAGAATTTATACATTTCTAATAGTTAAAAGCCTTCCATAAATATATTTGCTGGAAGTATCTGACAAATTGAAAACGTAAAGACAGAGCTTCTCTGGTTGAAATACACAGTAGAGCATCAGAGGGCTCCTGACTGTCAGGTCCCTGTTGTATTCCAAAACATTCTGAATTCTTAGGACCACCTAGAACTTAGCTTGAAAGCTACTAATTAAAAGCTGTGAACTTTGAGGGAAGGACCCAGAAAGGCCAGCTCTTTGCTAAATCAATAAAAGTAATGTATTGATAAATTATTGGAAATTATAGTAGAGTCATAAGAATAACATTTAATACACTCAAGAAACTCATGACTAAAAATAATGACTTTTAAAACTTGACATGAAGTGCTAAAATGTAGTATAAGAGCTTAGAATTATTTCCTAATTTTCAGGTTTTGGGCTCTTAAAGCTACTAAGAGCTTTAAAAAATCTTAATAACAGGGCTAGGGATTTAGCTCAGTGGTTCCACCGCATGCCTTGGCAAGTGCAAGGTCCTGAGTTCGATCCCCAGTACCAAAAAAATCTTAATATCTATTTTAGTAATATATATGTAAAATGTAAATGTAATATAGGTTACCATCAACTATGTAGTAATTATATCCTATTTCTTTAAACAGAGTGAACATTAAAAGTTCTTACAAGGGAAATTTAATTTCTAATTAGGAGTGCTAATTCAAAATAATCAAAACTAACATGATGTATTCCACTCCAAAAGTATGTTGGTCATGGGAGGAAACGTTAACGAATTTTATTTGCATAATTTTCTCTTGTCCTTCCTCTTCCTTGCTTGATATGTACATCCTAAAACCACTGCATAAACAATGTGTAAGACAACAGATACCTGGCTTTTGTTCCATGGCCACATGGAGCTTACAGAACAATTTTTTTTGGTGGTACTGGGTACTAAACCCCTACTTCTGAGATACATTGCCAGCTCCTTTTTATCTTGAGACAGGGTTTCAGTAGGCTGCCCAAGTTGGCCTCAAACTTTTGTCCTCCTGCCTAAGCCTCCTGATTTAAATAACAGTTGCAGTGGCCACTTTATGACAAAATAGATCCATTATTTTACAGCAGTGTATGTATACAAGACTTTCTCTTTGTATTTCGGGCTTGAGCATCTTTTAAAGGGAGAGGACAAAACAAGTGTTGAAGACTTGTTACATCATAGTCATCCCCATTAGGGTTCAATGCATAAGAGAATCTAAAATAATTATTGCTAGTCATGACTATGGAAGAGAGATAATATATAGCACAGGGATGAAGAACTTCCCTGCCAGCATGGAACCCAGTGGCACTCTTTGTAGTAGCATGAACAGATATCTTGATAGGGAAAATCTTGGTAGTGGGAGAGACAAAATATATTCCCAGTGGAACATTAAGCTCCCAATAGATGGGAGCCTCCTTTATCACTCCTGTATCATATTCACAGTTGCATTTTCAGTACCTGCAATGGTGTCTGGCATATAGTAGGTACTCAAATACTTGCTGAGGAAATGAATGGTCTTTTAGCTTTGGGGGAACATTGAAGATATATATTAAAGATGTGAACATAAAATTAAGATTCAAAAAAGTAAGTGGGAAAGTCATTTCATAACAATCTGTAAGTATAAGTAAATTACCAAGTTCTCCAAATTAAATTTCTGAATATTAGCAAAAGGGAATTAAATGTATAGAAAATTTGTCATTGCTTTGAGTCTTAATTTTTTTTACATGCAAAATACTTAAATAAACCAGTGACCTGTATGTACTGTTCTCATCACCTTTTACCGAGCTCTATAATATAACCATAGGAACAGCATTTGTTCACTACACTTCTTTGCAGAAATGCCGCATTTGTCTAGCTGGATATAACTTGATGTTGTAGGTTAAAAATACTGTTTCACAAGTATCACAACATTCAAAGAATAGAAATCTCACCTTGTCAAATGCTTGCTTGATGCATGTACTTCCATTTCATTACTTTTGTATTCATTTAATTCTTTACGAATTGCTGCCTAAAATTAAAAACAGGACACTTTTTTAGGACATTGAAAAGTTAATAGAGGAAATGAGTTTTCGTGTTTATGGAATAACACACTTGCTGTCTCTATTTTTTAATATGTTGGAAAAAATGAAGAATCTCTTCTCACTAAATTAGAGTAGCATTCTCAGAATGTCTCCAGACATTGCCAAACCACCCTGAGGACAAAACTGTCCCCTATTGAGAACTATTGATCAACTCAGACCCCCATTTATATTTGTGAAACCAGTATCTAGTCAAGGTATAACCTTATTGTAAAAGGCCAGTGGCTCCCATTGTCCTAAGAATAAACTCCCTGGCGTGACGCATTTTGCCCATGTTACAAGATCCAACACCCCTGACCAGCACAGACAGTTCTGTACCTTATCTGCTGCTGACAGTCTTGTCCAGGGTTTGTCTGCCCTCCTGTCATAGTCCTGCGCTTTTGCTACTTCCACATAATCACTGAAACGTATCAGAATTTTTCTGTCTCTTAATTCATCAACAGTGGGTCTCTGATTAAGCTAAAATAAAAGATCATTATAGTTAAGTATCACATGCCAAGCTGATTCTCTTGAAGTAACTGAGAAAACTTTCTACAAACAAAAACTCAAGCTGAATATAACCAACTTCTAATGTGCAGGGGCTTAAATTATATATTCTTATTTATATATATCACAGACCCCTTTCTCCAACACCTTCTATGAGAAAGATTCACACTCCCAAAAGTATATAGCACAGGGTCAAGGATGAATTAACTCAAATTTTACAGCAAGAATGGCGTCTTTTCAAGTACCATTAAATAAGCTCTTTTTTAAAAATTATTGATAAAATTATGCTAACTATTACTGGTACTCCTATATCAAACTCAGCACGGGGAGAGGGAAACAGAATACTTGAATTTAGAAATGATCAGGGTTTTTAAAGTTGATTGTTTATAGAGTTGCTACCAATGGCCATCATAAATTTTAACTGAGTCACACAGGTTATCCCTTTGTACTAAGGAGGTTTCCTGCAGTGAAGGGGCTTCTGGACATACTGAAGATGACCAAAAACAATGAGTCTAAAAAGTAAAACACTGATAACCCATATGCTTTTATTAGACATAGTACAAAGTTTTTAAATGCCCAGTCAACTTCTGCCTCCACCTGGAAATAAGAGGAAATGTCATCAGGATTCTACTTGCCTTTCCACACTGATACTGTGCAAGGGAAGGACTTCAGCCTTAGGGGATATCTGACCAGAAGCCCTGGTTTCTGAGGAGTTTTGGTGAATTAACTGTGATTGTTGTTGAACAAATATTTTTATTTATCTGAGTCCATGTTAGGAATCATTCACAATCACAGAGAGTAGTGTCTTAGATTATGCATTCCACTTGCTTCAGAAGCAAATATTTCTCTAGTCCACTTTTTTTAAATTCAGGAAATAAAATGCTTCAATTATAATACCTTTCTTGTTAATCTTTGCTTGATTTCTCTTCTTTCTTCCTGTTCTGTCTGATCATTCCTTTCTGTGAAAGATTAAAATAGAAAAAAGAGAAACCAGTTGAGATGTTCTTCTCTTTAGCAAAGAAGTGTACTGGTAGCTGAAGGTAGGATATTAAGGACACCTTTGTAAATCACACCTTTTCCCACATTTCAGCCTCTGTTTTCTCCATTTTGCTAATCACTGCTCAGGAGATCATAGTCCAGTGGATACACAGAAACATCCTGGCCTGGTTCTCCTCTGACCTTCTCTACTTTAGAAACAGCCATAGATAATGTTGTTGCCTATTTCCAGGAATTGTTTACCTTTATATCTATTTGTATATTTACATCAAGGATCATAGATGGTATGCAAAATAGCTGTAAAATACCTACTTGTACACATTTTAATATAAATAGTACTGTCATTGCTTGTTTCTTTTCTTTTTTTTTTTTTTTGCTATTTCATACTGTGTATACCTTGTAGGCAACCAACCTAAGATACAGAATACCCTCCTTCACATTTTGGACAACATGTGTTTGCCTGGAATTTATACTACCAGGGAATATTTCAAATCTGAACCCACCTACAGAGCGACTGACTCTCTTTTGAAAGAAACCCAAGTCTCTCACTGAAGTTGGCTTTGCTTGGTGAGTTGTGACTGTTAACATCCAAGCTGTGCTCACACTTACACTTGGAAACTAAAGATAGACCAGAGTGCTGAGCTATAGTATACAATGTACACCTTGCCCTAGGACACAGAATGTCTGTCCTATTTCTGTGCTCTCTGTTGCTAAACAAAGCCTCTTGTCTCTGACCTGAAGGAACTCCATTCCTAGGAAAAAGGTCTCAACCATCAGCACTCCTAGAAACACTGCCAGGTTTTGGAAGGGGAGATCCTACTATTTGAGGTTAACATAATTTCACATTATCTGCCTTTGTTTAGAAAAATAAGATACAGTTCAAATATACATTTGGGAGATTGGTTATATGGGTGTTTGTCAGCAATTATACTTCTCATTGATTCTCTTTAAAGAGTCATCTTTCTTGGATTAGGGCATTTTAGAAAAGAAAACCCTATTATGTGCTCAGTTCTTTAGTCACATGAAAAACCAGAAGAAACTGTACTTGTAAGCTATAATGAAGTGGATGATACAGTTAGAAAAAAGCTGCAAAACATATATAAGGCCAGCTATGAGAGAAATAATAATATGAAAGTAATTCTTTATATTTCTTAAAAATAGTTCATGGAGGAATCCCAGGATCAGACTTCATGTGGAAATGAACAAGCAAAATTAGATCATTTTTTGGTGTGTGAAAATGTCATCATCATTACTAAGGTCATACACAGCAGGGCTTTTGGAAAGTGCCTGTCTATATGCTTTTTTTGTTTGGAGAGCTCTGTCAGACCCCTGCTCTAAATATTCCTGTTGGCCTGTGCTCACAGACCTCTCTCTCTGAGCTACCCTTAATGAGGTTTGTAAATCAACCTTACATAAGACAAAGGATCCATTATCAGGACTTCTGTACCCACGTTTTCTGGAAGTAACTCCAGTAGCTTGGACAATTATACATGAGTCTTCCATAGATGTTCAGAAATGTATTATTGCATCTGATATAGTGGTTAAGAACACAGGTAATAGAGTGAAGCAAACCTGAAGTTGAACTCTGGCACTGTCCTCTTGCTGATATCAACAATATTCATTTGTTAAAATGTCATGTTTCCTCTCAGTGTCTTAGCTGCTTTACTAGTAAAATTTACAGATTTGTTGTAGATTAAATTAGGGAACATAATCCAAGCACTGAGTATACTGCCCGACACAGACTGGGCCCCATAAAGAATTAGTTGTATTACCATCATATAGAACAACCTAATTACATTCATGAATACACAGCAGAGTTCTGAGTGTTCTCAGATATAACTGCAGTTAGTCACGAGTTCTGACCTGAAGGGAAGCAAATACAAAGTGATCATATTATCGGATTTTATTATATAAGCAAAATGCAATGTAGTATGAGTGCTTGATGCCTCATGTGTCAAGAGCCTGTGACTGTGATATTTTATACTGGACTTTATATGGTTACCTTATTCTTATTTACACAGAAAGCAAGGAAACAAAACACACACCCAGCACAAACCTAGTAGCAGTTTCAGGTCCTCCCACTCAGGACACTTGAGAAGACTTTTGAGTGAAGGACAAATCTGGTTCACTGGTGAAGGTACATTGTTTATGGCAGGATTGCTATGGCCACTACAGAGAAAATCCATTTCCCTTCTGTGCACTAAAGGTGAATGCAGTTCCAATTATCCACTTTGATTAAGCACAGTTCTATTTTTAAGGCTTCAATATTTATTTGCAAAGAATAACACAATGAGAAGCACTTGTGGGTAAGAGGATCTGACTGCCCACCATAGAAAGGAAGAGGCTACCATTGAAAAATGTTTTCCAGGTTAACAGCCCAGGCAGTAGTAGTCTCTTCCTGTTTGGGGCAGCAGACTGTTGCAGTGTGGTACTTCTCAAGTCTTGAACTTGCCTTCAAGTCTAGACCACTACTTTTAATGGCATCTATAACTTACAAGCTTTATAATCAGTGGGTTTTATTTTTTTAAATCCAAATATTGAAAAAGTCAACTAAATAGTTTGATTTTTCTAGTCTACCTACTTGATTAAGCATGTTATCAATGAAAAGCTTTTCTTTGAATCCTCAAGACATAGTTTAGTTAACAGAATAGTCACTGTATCTTAAGTTTAAAAATTAAAATGTTGAAAATATTTAACCCTAAAATTTAAAAATCTATAAAGGAGGGAATTATTTTAGGCAGTTAATGAAGGCACTGAGGTAAACATAAGACAGGAATAAGAGAGGAATCAATTACAGTGCAACGCCCAGTCCAACGCAGAGCTGCTTTCTGATGCTTGTTAATGTTCACAAAACAAATTCAGAGAATGTCTGCAGTGTTCACATAAAAGGACAAAAACTAAAATCATGACACATGACTGGTCCTTAGAAGACACCTTTTTTGTGGAAAATATCTTTAAAAATTGAAGACTGGGGCCAGGGATTTAGCTCAATGACACCATTCCTGCCTCACAACCATGAGGTCCTGAGTTCAATCCTAGTACTGCAAAAAAAAATTGAAGACTGTTGACCAGGTAGAGAGCTACCTGAGAAAGATCAATTGTTAATGAGTTTAAATGAAATAGAATTTTTTATAGTGGAGATTATTGATATACACCTCTGTTTAGCATATACTGTAATTATATACCTAACGAGAAACTCAAGGCCAGGAGGCAAAGGGTCCTTGAATCCCAAAGTTACAAGCCACAGAATAATGTCCCCTGGTTTCCTTGCTCTTTTTTTTTGGTGCTGGGTATTGAACTCAGGACCTTGCACTTGCAGAGCAGTGCAAAGCAGCCACTGAGCTAAATCACCGGCCCTCCTTGCTCTTTTAAGTTGACCATTTTATCCCTCCTAGGTGTAACAGCCAAGGGGCATGTCCTTCACTAGTAAGATTTATGACCTAGCCTGTGATTTCTGTAGCCATTAGGACCCTCATCCAAAACCTCCAGGAAAACTTGCTTGACACCCAGGGTATAGATTCATTTACCCTAAATCTACATGACTAGCCCTGAAAACAAGTACATCTTTAATTATCCTAGGAAGCGAGCTTTTTTCTTCATTTTAAAAGATCCCGTTTCTTCTGTACACATCAACTTTTCCTTAGAGACTTGCTTTCAGAATTTCTTAGCTGCTCAGATTTAAAAAGCACTAAACCTGCAGAACTGGGCTGGGTTACAAAAGCTCTTGCAATAGCCCCAGCACACACACATGAGGGAACCTCTGGAGGAATCACCAGCTACTCACGTTTCAGGATATTTCTTCTCTCCAGCTCCTCCACAGCAGGTCGTTGGCTCAGTCGTCTGCGGAAGAACACCAGAATTACATTTTGCACCATGGTGGGTGCCTGAAAATTCCATCCAGGGACTAGAAGTGAGAGGTGGCTGGCACACCCCTAAAGAATTCCTCTCAAAAAGTAGGAGGAGAGAGAGTGAACCTTTGGTTCCTCTTGCTGGCCAAATCAAGTCAGCCTCCCACGTGGGAGGGACAGCTACCCTGTCACGAAGCTGCCGTGGAAGTCCTTGCTCCAGCACTGAGTGTGCAGGTTCTCATTTTCCAGACCCGTTGTCCAAACCTGCCTGGTCTGTTCACCAAGGCAGTGTGTTTAAGCAGCACGGGGACCCATTCAGAAAATTCCTCCTGCCCACTAGCTTAAGGAGGGGCAGGCAGCACCACCTGGTTTTTAGGCTTTTGGTTCCAGAGATGCGTGGAGATCTGCACCTCCTCTTGATGCCTCTTGTCACTAGCACGGGAGACACCAGCCCTGGAAGCCAGAGCTCTCCTTCTCCCGTGTTGAACACTGCCTTTGCCCAGCCCAGCACAGGGGAGTGTCTAAGATGTGTGGGCCTCCCGCCTCCCGCCTCTTGTCAGTGAGCTCACACTTCCAGCACTGAGTAAAAGCTGGGAATCTCCAGCTCAGCACAGCTAAGGGAACTGAGCTTTTCCCTTTCTCTTGCCACCAACCTAGACTTCATGTACAGTATGAAAACAGATTACTCTTTCTCAAATAGGCTCAGCTTGGGGAATTGGAAGACACAGCCTCCCTCCCTGATTTTTTCAACCACACTAAAGCCAAAAACAAAAGATTTGTCAGCAGACGGAAGCATGATCAGCCAAAATTAATGCCAAGCTCCACTTAATTTTGCAGCTAAGATAATATCCTTGGGTTAGAGCCAAAAACCTTCCCACTTCCGGATCCTTTAGCTGCTGCAAAGATTCAACAGGGCCAAGTATTTGAATACCCAGAATTTGGGGCCACAGCATCTTGCCCCAGTGAGAATGTTGCTTGTCTCCTATTTATAATCCCTGTCCAGGCACAAAGCTGCTGCTCCTCCCTCCACACTTGAGCACAATAGTTGCTGTGTGGCTCCCTGGGAGCTTCTGTCTGTCTTCAAGCTCTGGGGGTGGTTGCTTCCATCTCCTCTTGAGGTTCCTTAAGACCTAAACCTGCCCCGCCCCTGCCTGCACCCTCCACCCCAACTCCTGGCTGAGACCCAGGGATGAAGGCCTTCCCCCATCTGCCTCCACAAAGCCTGCAAAGCCTAGCTCAACTGCATTGCTACTCAGCCAGCCAGCCAGTCAGCAAATGAACATTAGCCACATGCCAGGCACTGTCCCAAGCCCTCAGAACAGAGTGCTGAGCAAGGTTCTCTGCAGTGGGAAGTTCACAGTCTAGATGGAAAGGAAGACAATAAGGAAACAATGATTTCAGAGTAGCCAGTGCTACGGAGGAAATAAAATGGGGAATGTGATGGGTGAGTGAGTGGTCTGGGGCAGGGGATCTGAGGAAGGTGCATTTCCACTGAGACCTGAATGAAGAGCCAGCCATGGGAAGAACACACTGAAGACAAGTGTCCAAACCACATACACACCAGGCTGGAGATGAGCGGTGAGGAAGGGGTCAAGGTGGGCATCATAGAGGAAACTCAGCCAAGTCGGATGGAATACCCAGGGGGAGCAACGTGTGCAGTGGTCATAGAATGAGGTGAAGGAAGAAAAGGAAATGGAGCTGTGAGCACAGGATGGGGGTGGGGAGCCACAGCAGTAGTGCGTAAGGCTGTGAAGATGTGCTGAAATCTCTCAGTGTCCTGAGACACGCTACATGATTGAACTTAATGTGTGTGGTGGAGACCCAGTGAAGGTCCTGAGCAGGAAAAGGACGTGGTCAGCTCTGCAGCATCTGGGCAATTACTCTCCCCCATCTTGGGAAGGTGAGGCTCCCTCCTTGCCCACTCACCTAACAGGTCATCCTCAAGGTTGGCTCAGGGGCCCTGGCCCCGGAAGGTGGTGCGACAGCAGTAGAGGATGGGCTTTGGGAATAGGTGAACAGAAGTTTGAGACTTTTTTGGCTGTGTGACCTTAGGTACTTCTCCGAGCCTTATCTACTCATTCGCAGTGAGGACTAAATAGCTCTACATAGGGTTATGAAGATAATGTATACAGATATTTTGTAACAACACTGTTTGGAATTTAGTAATTTCTCAAGAAAAATTATTTCAGGGATGTCTATAAAAGGCATTAGGTCTTTTTGAAAACCTTTCCAGATGTCAAACTTTCTCTGACATTTATAAGCAAATTCTTCAGAAGAGCAATCAAGGAACCAGAGCTATAGTTCCGTAGTAGAGCACTTGCCTAGAATACACAAGGCCCTAGGTTCCATTCCCAGCCCTGGAAAAAGAAAGCCTAGCAGAAAGCAATGCTCTCAGGCCTTTATTCTGACGATGGCCTAATTGCTCCTTCCTGCCTGGTATGCAGTGGGTCCACTGGCATCAGGAACTGTGTCCTGCTTGCATGCCTTCCTGCATGTCCATTTCCAAGCTGAGGTGCTACAGAGACCACAGGAGACTCCGTACAGTGGCCCAGGGCCTGTGAAGGACAACACTCGTCAGACCCTCCCCTCTTCACCTGCGTCCTCAGCAGCTGCTCCACTCTGACTGCCCCACTGACCTGTGGAGCCTGAAGTGCAATGCAGTGCTTTGGCTGGGCTTCTCAAATTCCACAGGGTTGGTGCTAGCCAGTTTCACCCCTGGCCTCAAACAGTGGACCCCTGTGACTAGGTGAGCCACAGACTCTGTCAAGTAGGTGACAGGTTGGGGTAGAGCTTGTGGTTGGAATTCTTCCTTCCCCAGGTTACTGTGCACATGAAATGAAATGGTACACTGTGCAAGGCTGGCCCTGTGATGACTGAAAGTCAGTGTAACCATTACTGTTGTATTATCATGACTGCCATTACTAGGTTCTCAAACATTTGTGGAATTGTATGGAGGCATTTAAGAAATACCAGCATGTACTCTCCCATTTCAGGCATACAAGCTGGGTTAGTGATGATGTTGAAGTCCTGAGCTTAAGCCCTGGGTTCTGCCCTTCAGAGCATGGCACAGGGCTTAGCTCACCTCGCCCCACATCCAGGCTTCTGAAATGGGGCAGCAGGACAGTCTGCCATTTTTGCAAGGCCTGAGTGATGATGGGCTAGCAGGAACAAGCTGGATTGCGGAGCCCCAGCTCGACACAAGGGCTCAGAGAGCAGGGGCAACTGGGCCTGGAATGAGAACCCACAGCTGCTTCCTGAAGCAGGAGGGCTAAGGCAGTAGGGTACTGTCCACACCATCTGTCAGGAACCGGGGAGAGGCCTGGCTGACCAGGAAAGATATTAGGGCTGAGGCCCAGGAGGCATCCTTGTGGCAGAGCAAGGGAGGACTGGGCAGAGGCAGGCTGACCGGTATCTGATCACACCCAGTGGCCACTTGGACCAGGTGGATGTGGACATTTTGTAGGTACACCGTGGCCTAGGAAAAGGGTAGTGGAGCTGAATGAGCATCCCCTCTGAGGTCATCTGTGAGTAAACCCAGTGGCCAGACAAGTGTCAGTGGCAGGAATGAAGGAAAGAATGAATGGGTGTGGGTTCCTTTCCTCCTACTATAAAGTGTGTGCAGGCTGACATTTTTAGTAGCCCTGGGTTGGCACTGTATTCTGGGGTGAGAAGCCTTAAAGAGAAAGCGGCTCTCAGAGGAACA